AAAAAATCAAAACGAAACATCGCTTCACAATAAGATGAGATAGAAAGTGGAATTTATTAGTCGTGATTCACAAGAATAACAATAATAGGCAATTATCATTCATTAATTTTTATACACAACACCAACATCAACATGATTGTGATTTGAATTTGATGTGAATAGTAGTTAGTTGTTGTTGTACTTACTTGATCGACACAGTGTATGTATGTATAAATAGGGCACCATGATCGATCTGTCTAGCCCATGCTTCACTATATATATCAGTGTGTTTCACAAGAGAAAGTCAGTGAGTAGGTGAGTGAGAGAGAGAGAGAAATACATTCATGTAAGAGAAGGGAAGGGAAGGGAAGAGAAGAGAAGAGCGGAAATAGGAAAGTGAACATTTGGACATAGAGAGATAGTGTTTGTAAGTGTTAGAAGCACTAATAATAATAATAATAATAATAATAATAATAATAATAATAATAATAATAATAATAATAACAATGACGATCACAATGTTGAATAATTTGTCTTTCAATAAAATAATTACCCAGGTCCATTATATATCTCTCTCCAAGTTAGTAAATCATCTCATTCATACTACTACTACTAATACTACCTACATACATCATCATACAAGCACTTTCTCAAATGTAATGAATATTTATAAGTAAAATATTAAGTCAGCAGTGATTATTATTATTATTGCATAGAACAGCAGCAGTGTAGTGTATCATTGTGTACAATGGAAGAATGAAGTGATAAATGAAGGCGAAGAAGGACACAGAGAGCGAGAGGGAGAGAGGAGTGAATGGGGGGGAGGAAGAACGGCAACAGCAACAACAACATCAAAAAAATCGAGGCACATAATTTATTTTTTTTAAAATCAAATATTTCAACATGATTGTAATCAAGTGTGTTGCTCGTTTTTATTGTTGTTGTGTACACAAAGGGCACTAATCTCTCTTCTGATAATACAACAATGACGACGAAGCAAGCGGAACAGGAGATGATAATGAAGATCGATGAATAGGCGGTGGGCGGAGGGAGGGACGAAACAACAGCAACTCTTTTACATGCTTTCATGATATTGTTCGGATTAGCATAGAGAAACACAGAGACAAGCTCGGAGGGAAAATACAAATACCATACACGTACGTAGGCACGTACGCACACACACACACACACACTGGCATAATAAGGCATATATTTCTGACAGACACACGCACATACTCAAGAATGTACAGTCTATAATAATAACAATGAAACTTGATTGTTTGGAAGTAGTTATCACACTTCAGAAAACAATACTACTCTAATTACACATGGATGGTAATTGACGTAAGAGAAAGAGGGAGATACAAAGGAGGAAAAATGGATCCCATTCAAATCGTGATGATGATCAGTTGTATGTTTGTTGATTGTGTGGCGTCGAAAATTCACTTTCATACGGATCAACATACAAATACGCACACACACACACACACACACACGCAAACACATGTCCGCATTCAGTACAGACTACTGTTAATACAATAGTACTGATGAAAGAGAGAACGACCTAGAGAGGGAGAGAGAGAGTGGTAGAAGGATAAGTAGACATACACACATGATTGTACAGTTGTTTGCAATGTTTCCTCGTTTTATTTTTCTCAACCAACGGCATGCATGGTATTACTACAGATCCTCGCCGACTTTCATGAATGAAATGATAAACAATTGGGGGCGGGTGGGTGTTGAATAAAAGAGACCAAGATGAATATGTGAGTGTGTGTACGTCTGCAACTCCAACTAGGTGTAGAAGAAAATGAAGCTTTAAAAATTTGCATCCCAACCGGATAATTCATCCGGAGCTTCTTGTTCATCCATTGTAAAACGATCGAAATTCGAATGATCCAATGGTCCGTTTAACTATGGAATTTGAAATATTTTTGGAAAATAGAGAAAACGAAAAAAAAACGCAGTCGATTAGTTTTCAACTAATTTATTGTTGTCTAAAATTTGATCTTTAATAGATAAATATCCTTAGATTAATCAGAGTTAGATAGGAACACTATTGAATATCGGCTCAGTTGTCTAGAGGTTAAGTGTTCGAGCGCAAGACCCAAAGTCCTGGGTTCGAATCGTGCCAGTAGCAAGAGTCATGGATGCGCACTGCTGATCAGACCTATACCAGGACGAAACAGCCGTAATGTGCTTTCAGGTTTCTAAAAGTTGTCTAACATAGGTTCATTCATGATTTCAATGACAGATAAGTACTTATCATCGATTCGCATAACAGTTACAAGATGTGCAGTAGTGACAAGTTGAGATTTTTTCATTATAGTGTTATGGAGACCGTTGCTTTTACACATGGAGATCGCGAATCAATCATTGTTCGACCACCATTAGAAACTTAGAAGCACTGCAGGTGCTGGTATGGGACTCATCAGCAGGGCATATCCATGACTCCCGCTACTCACATGAATCGAACCTTGCTAGTGGGACATAGATGAAATAAAGCATGGCTACGTTAGCTGCGCGCTGATTGGCTAATTTCCTATCCAATCAGCGCCTGGCCCATACTTGGAGAACAGGCTATAAAATTCTCGTGGTGTTAACAGCATGCTGATTGGCTAAATCTAATCCGGTCGTCAGTGCTAGTCAATCACGTGAATTACATATTCCAGAAGCTTCTCATATAAAAACTATAAGGACACCAACGTTGTATCTATTTTGCCTTCGCCTTCGCCATCACCTTTGGCTTCTTATTTCCATTTAACCTTGCTATTTGGAATATAATCTTTTCCTGTTCCACCGTGTTTTTGATTCTTTGGAACTTGTCTAGTGTGTTGTGGTCAGAGAATACTAAGCAATAGGAATTAGCAGGGAATTATTTAAGCGAGCGTTACAACAAACCTAGAACCTTCGATATTGCGCGTGGACGCCTAACCTCTGGACCGCTGAACCGGACGGCATCTAACGGTGTTACTGTCTATTTTAGATCAATCAAAGGTTTTGTGCAACCCAATTCTCGGTGAGCCACCGAGTGAATTGAACACTATTCCCAAAGTATGTTGGATTGATACTAAAAAATTCAAAATCTGTCTCTCTATCCCGTATCCATCTATTTCCACCGACTAATTCCTAATATACTAAAATACTGAAATACAACAATCTCTATTACTCTATAATGAAAATCATGGGAATTTGCTCACTAGTGACTAGCTCCGTAAGGAAATTCTCGGAAGACATGACCAGTGTGGAGTTCAATCCTATTCGGTGTTGCCCGAAATCCCTAGATTGATCAAAGTTAAACATTAAGACTGGTGGATGCCAGATCAGTAGTCCACCAAAGGTGAAGTGTCCACGCACAAGCACGAAGATCCTGAGTTCGATTCCGATGGGTAGGGGGAAGTGATGGATGCACACTGCCACCGATGAGTCCCATACTCCGGCGACGAATCACCCGTTCAATACTTCTACGTTTTTAATAGTGATCTAAGATGAATCGATTCATGATTTCAAATGAAAAGCAACAAACTGAAGCATTCCATTCATTAACGTATAGAACAAGAAGGATACATAAAATTATAATAAACAATGGAAATATACTACTACTAGTAATAATAATAGTAGTAACTGTATAATCACAATAGATAACTGTATATATATAACACTACATTAGCTTACTTTAACTCTGAATGGAGTGCTTAATGTTTGTTTCACTATGCCAGCCCAATCGAAACCTTGGAAATATCTGGAAATTAAAGAGAGGAAAGCGGGAGAGATTAGTGATAATGATTAATATTACCTAAGATTCATGCTCGTCAATTGATATGCTTGAAACTATTACGAGTTCACTTTATTCAGCAAACGGAACGACGATCAACGATGCAGTGACACGATAGGTTATGCTGATTCGATTATCCCCAGCCTGGCTAACTAGATCAAGAAGTATTGATAAGGCGTAGAAAAGTGTATTCTACAAGCATCCAGAAAATATGAGGTCGACAAGCACATAACTCAGGTTTATTTATACGATGAGAGGGACGCCCTTGGTGAGAGCCACAAAAATCGCGTACTACAATAGCCCATCAATTAATGACAGTCAAGGATTTCTCGAGTGGGAAAGGTAATCTCAAGTTCAACTAAGCAGCTTATGCGCGAAAACATAAAAACCCCCCGAAATTAGGTCCTTTTCTCGGCGTAATGTATTCTTTGGCCTTCCTCTTTTCCTTTTGCCTTGAGGGTTCCATGTGGGGGCTTGTCTTGTGACGCAGTTAGGTGCTTTTCGTAATGTGTATCCTATCCACTTCCACCGCTTCTTCCTGATTTCTTCATCCACTACAATCTGGTTTGTTGTCTGCCACAGTAAGTTGTTTCTGATGGTGTCTGGCCAACGAATCCAAAGTATTTTGTGTAGACAACTGTCATTGAACACTTGTATCTTCTGGATGATGGCATTCATAGTTCTACAAGTCTCCGCCTCATACAGTAGAACTGTCTTGAACAAGGCATTGTTACCCGTTCATTTTTATTCATTACTTTTTACAACAGTAATAATAATTTGTATTACAGGGTTGTGAATATTGTTAAGTTACACACTTTTGAAACCATGAATCGATCAATGTTAGACCACCATTAGAAACCTGAAAGCACTAGACGGCCGTTTCGTCCTGGTATGGGACTCCTCATCAGTGGCAGTGCGCATCCACGTGAATTGATCGAAGTTAAACATTAACAGCGTTAGATACCGACCGGCTCAGTGGTTCAATGGTTAGGCGTTCGCCTACAATACCGAAGGTCCTGGATTCGAATCCTGCGGGGTGCAGGAGTCGTGGATGCGCATTGCCACTTACGAGGAGTCCCATACCAGGACCACGAAACGGCCGTCTTTCAGTGCTTCTTTCAGGTTTCTTCTAATGGTGATCTACTAACATTGATCGATTCATGGCTTCAAGAAAAAAAGTAGTAATCATGATATTGATAATAATAACAATAATACTAAAAATCTTATTAACAACAATGACACTTACTTATGACTACGTATTTCTTGAATTCCATATTTACCAACACCTAATCTTTCGGATGGATTAAAACGGCATAATCGTCGTATGAATTGTAATGCTTTTAAACTGATATATTTATTTTGTGCTAAACCCAAAGCATCAATACCTTTCAATGTTTTCATATAGATTTTAATTGGTTCAGATGCTTGAAATGGTGGACTAGAAAAATTTATGTTCAGAAGAAGGAGAACAAGAAGTGAACATGAATGGTATTTAATTGAGTAAAAAAAAAATATCAAAATAATATGAACAAACACCTTTACATGTTCAGTCAACAACAACAACAACAACATAGAACTTCGTAGGTAAGTACATCAGTTCAAGCTACCATACTGTGGCGTGTGCTACTTATGCAAACGATATAAGTAGTAGTATAAGAAGGGGCGTGAAAGGAGAAGAAGTCTCACCACGGTCAGAAGAGGAAAACAGAAAGCAAATGGAGCAACAGCAAGAAGTAAACGGAGTAGTACCAACAGGAAGGCGAGGAAGCAACAACAGGAATGGAAGAAGAAGGATAGAGTGTTGGAAGTCACGACTCCAAGATGGTGTGCAAATAGAGTATTCAATGTAATGTTTTCGTTTTTAATTGACTAAGAGTGTAAATTAGCATAATACAATCTTCAGCGCCTGCCTCAGTCTTCTCAATACCACACTAGCAAAAAGATTCAATTGTCGATTCAAATCCCATAGTGGTAGAGATAGTAGGAGTACTACAGGTAATAGGAAGGATTAAGGTTCGACGATATTATTCAAGAAGTAGAATCTAGTGAATTAAACTTAAAAAGAAGAAGATGAGGATCGTCGAAGATTAGGATTTGAGAGAACACAAAGAATGAATGCACCTGCACCTTTGCAAACGATTTTGAGCCATGTCATTCAGGGTATCTAACCATTGGTTAGTATCAACTCGTGAACCTCAACCAGGTGGCCTACACCTACCAACATGACTCAATCCACTTGTCAGTGACTTCATGGATTTCTGCCATGTTTTGATCTGGCCGTCCCTAACTTTCTTCCAACCTATTCCTACATTGCAAAAACATAGCTCGTTGAGGCAGCCGGTGGATAGCCATACGTAACACATGTCCCAACCATCTCAACTAATGAAGTTTTTATGCTTCATCTATTGATTTGCCATCCTTACCTAGGACCCATTTCCTAACGACAGCTTTGCTCACTCGGTTGTCCCAGGAAATATGAGCGATGACTCGGAGACATCTATGATCGAAAACCAGTAACCTGCGAATATCTTCTACTCGGATTGGCTATGCTTCGCGACCATATAGTAGGACGAAGCGAACTGCTGTGCAAGTACACTAGTCCTTTGTTTAGCAAACGCGTATCTCGTCTACGCCATAAGTGACGCAAGTTGGCGAAAACCAATCAAGCCTTCTTGCGTCACTTATGGTGTAGACTTTACATGTTACATTTTAAATGTCAGTCGAAACTTCTCGATTCACTACTACTTCATGATAATGACATATTTTATCGGAATAGTGTTCAGCCTGAGACTGCGAATCTTATGAGGGGATGGAGTATCAATCTGCTGAAGATTCCTAGCAGGTTTTATTGAAAAGTGTCAACTAATAATGAATACAGACAAAATTAGAATTCAGTATACATTGGATCTAACTACAGATTTACGTCAAAACAGACAGTATGAGTGACATCAAGTCATTTACACAGGATTAATGGTTATATATATATTGTGAGTTGATCGACAGAACTGAATTCGCTGACAAGAAACTAAATTCTTTTCGTTATTTTATTGATTTACGCACAAAAAATAGTGATTCAAATCAGATATTTTTATCAGCGGCCAAAGGAAAACACGGAACAAACCCATGGAGTCACTGACAAGTGGACTGAGTCATGTTGGTAGGTGTCGACTACCTGGTTGGGGTCCACGAGATGATAGTAACCGATGGTTAGAGACCTTGAATGACATGGCTCAAAATCATTTGCAATGGCACAGGTGCATTCATTCTTCGTGTTCTCTCATATTGTAATCTACTGAATTCCTCATGACCTTCATCTTTCTCTTTCTAAATTTATTTCACTTTACTGTACTTCTCGAAACATATCTTCGAACCCCAATCTTCTTCATTATCGCTAATACTTCTATCACATCTAACACTATGTGATTTGAATTGACGATTGCATATGACTGTACTAATGTGGTATGCCAACTTGAGCTTGATGTACGTACACGTGTACCAGGTGCTACATTGCAACTGATTGATTGAACAGCTTAACTTGTTTTGATAGATCAATGCAAAAAAATAGTAAACTTGAATTTGATCGATTCATAGTTCATATGAAAAAGGCAAGCTAAGATAGAAAGAACTGTCGCAGTGTCGTTCAATTCCGATTCTTCATTCACATACACAAAGCTTCACACAAACACTAGGCTCAACTACTTTATATTGGCTAAGCTAAATAGCCAATCGTAGATACATTAACAGACATAACGGAAATGGGGCACCTCTATATGTATGCGCTACATATCGCTGGAATGTCCGAATTGAGGACATGTGTTACGTATGGCTAACCAACGACTAC